TACAAGCAGCACGACCCAGAGCTTGAAGCAACTGCCTTATCCACTATATCCAGAGACTCTGATGATACTAAGATTGCACAGAAAGGGAGATGAGATGTATTCCAGTCATACACTATATATATTTTTTCCTTTTAATGTCCTTCTTACTTACCTATGGCTACTCTAAATTCTTTTGGTATTCAGTACAAAATTATTCTTAATCAGCTTGTTACTGAAAATCAACAGCACTCCACTCATTTAAAAACTGCTTAATTTTAGGGCTTTGTGATTATTTTTGAACTGTTCTAAAACTAAAACTTACAAGTTTAGATCTGTTAGGTATCCTGGGATACGGTATGTGTGAAAGACATGACAAAACAAAGTTGAAATATGAGCTACTGGCTAGAGTCCAGCCATCTGATGATAGAAAATCAAATTATAATTTGAATTACAGCCTCACTCTTTTCTTTATTTCAACCCACATTGGAATAATACATATTTTTACTTCTGCTACATCAACATTTGTGGAAATCTGTGTTCATGAGCAAACAAAAATGAAGCCAAATTTTCCATTAAATCTCATTTTAATATACTACAATTTTCCCTCATAATTATTATCTTAAAAGAAAAGCAATCATTCATTATTCTGGCTTTTTATGAAAACCAGAAATATGCTTGGTATATTAGACATTTAGTAACTATTCTGTCCATGTGACAGGTCTTTCAATAATTAAAAAAACAAAATTACAAAGTTAAATGCCAAAATGTGTGTAAGCAATTAGAGTATATAATGATTTCCAAAGGGGGAAAAAAAAAACTTCCTTAAATGTCCAGATAATCTTTAGTAAACTACCTAAATAGTGTTGCTTCATTTTCACTGTCACACTGGAAGCAAAGTACAGTTTTATTTAAAGTTACTGTTACATATTAGATTTCATCTGGTTTTAGAAATAATTTGACAAGTACAAAATATTTTACCATCATAAAACCCAGGAATATATCTTGCAATCCTTTTTTCTGTCTTACACACAAGTCTTCTTTAATCTTTCCTTCCACATGTCACAAAACAAGGTGCTAAAACTAATTCAAAAGGCTCAAAATCTAAAATTCAATGCAATTAATGGAAACTTTATATACCTTCTTTCTGATTATAAAAGATTGTATACTCTATAAAGGAAGAAATTTTTGTCTGTTTTATTCATTCCTGCATGCCCTGCACATAAAATAGTGTCTAACCCATAGCAGAGCTAATTGATCAATACTTGTTGAATGAATGCATGTGAAGTTTATGAGAAAATAAAGGAACAAGGAACATTCAAAGAAGAATAAAATAATTCCTCGAAATTTCAACATTCAGAGAGCTAACATTTTGGTATATTCTCTTTCAGCTGCTTTCTACATATTTTCTACATGGCGGAAATACAAAGTATAGAGGAACATATTAAATAACACCATGGAGATACAATCAGTAAAATCCAAAATGTGGGAAATTCTAGAATATAAATGACTTACATTCTTTCACAAATAAATGATGTACAGTTTGAGTTTCAAAAGTAGACAGCCGGTGCAGGAGGACCAGGAAAAGTGAAACAAGAAAGGAAGGAAAGCCAGTTCAAGGGTGTGTCATTGAGCTGATTACTGCTGTAGAAAGCTAGGGCTCAATACCCCTTAGCCCACCCAAGAAACCATGTAGTTCGTATCCTCAGAATTGACCATCCAAGACAGTGGAGAGGAGAGTATTTATGCACCAAGTCTCAACAAAGAGTAAAGTCCTTTATACCTCTGTATGTGTGCACGTGCCAACACGGCTGAGCAGGGTCCCAAAGGGGACCCATGCTATAGCAGCAGAGATGCTCTATAGCAGAAACAAGAGACACATAGTGTAGCTGAGGGTCTTTCCTGTCAGGCTGTATCTCTATCCTGATAAATGCTGCAGCAACAATCTGAGCAAAAGGTAAAAGGTGGGCTGAGAGGTGTGAAACAAGGCATAAAACTGGTCTTGCTTAATGGCAAGGAAAAAATGGCAAGAAGAAAAAGAGAGAGAGAAAAACCCATAAAGAAAGACTGAAGAGATATCAAACATAGCGTGTAACCATTTTTGGAGGTTGATTTGAATAAATCAACTGTAAACAATATATTTTAGATAGAGAAATTTGAATGATGCCTAGATATTTGCTATTAAGAAATTACTATAATATTTTTAAATTACTGTTATTACTGGTACTACTGTTTTTTTTTTTAAAGTACTTATCTTTTGGAGACACAAACAGAGGTGTCTTTAAAATTGCTTTAAATTGGCTTTGAAACAATATGGGGTGAGGAGAGGAAGTAAAAGGTTATAGATGAAATAAGATGGCCACGTGTTCATAGTTGTTGAATCTAAGTGACAGGCACATATGGGTTCATTATACTACTCTCTGTACTTTCTATGTTTGAAAATTTCCCTAAGAAAAAAATTTAAATATACGGCAAATTTCCTGCACCTTTGAAGATTTCATTTTTCCTAGAGATATATGAATGTTAATAATCATGGCCAGGGGCTTCCCTGGTGGCATAGTGGTTGAGAATCTGCCTGCCAATTCAGGGTACACGGGTTCGAGCCCTGGTCTGGGAAGATCCCACGTGCCGCGGAGCAACTGGGCCCGTGAGCCACAACTACTGAGCCTGTGCATCTGGAGCCTGTGCTCCGCAGCAAGAGGGGCTGCGACAGTGAGAGGCCCGCGCACCACGATGAAGAGTGGCCCCCGCTTGCCACAACTAGAGAAAGCCCTCGCACAGAAACGAAGACCCAACACAGCCAAAAATAAATAAATAAACTTATATTTAAAAAATAAATAAATAAATAAATATAAACATGGGCAAAACATTATAAATTCCTTGGTTAGAAAACACCATAACTGTTTCTGGTTCCCCAAGCTCACATTGTTATTTCACATGTCTGTATTTCTGACCACACAATTTACTCACTCTGAGTGATGCCCACACAATTTACTCACCGAGTGATGCCTCTGCCCGCTCATGTATACAATGATAATAATATAATAATATAATATCATAATATAATAATAACTATTATTATTCACTTTTCGAAACCCATCTCAAATGCCATCCCCTTTAGGATGCCTTCCTTATAACGTATAGTTTCTTTTTCATAGCCTACTACTGTAACATATATGATTGATTCTCACTAATTATGAGAGTTATGTTCTATAAAGTTGCCATGAACAAAGAATCAGTGAATACTGACCTATTACTCCTAGGGGAAATACAGGGTTAGGTTCCTATGATCCTCTGGTCACAAGTTTTTTTTTTAAACAAATCAATACATAACCTTATTTTATGTGTTTTTTTGGTTTGTTTGTTTGTTTTGTGGTACGCAGGCCTCTCACGTTGCGGAGCACAGGCTCCGGACGCACAGGCTCAGCAGCCATGGCTCACGGGCCCAGCCGCTCCACGGCATGTGGGATCCTCCCGGGCTGGGGCACGAACCCGTGTCCCCTGCATCGGCAGGCGAACTCTCAACCACTGCACCACCAGGGAAGCCCTCCAAACTATTTTTGCAAAGATTATATTCCTCATTACGTGTCATCATTGAAGTTTCTGCTCTATTATCTAAGCAGCCATCAAGTGACCTCAGAGATTTCCTTAAATGTTGGAAGCAAAAAGAATGAAAGAACAAAACAAAACAGAACCCAGCTCTCCTAGTGTTTGTAGATTGGCTCTGAGCTAGGGCCTTCTTTTGATGTTTAGTTAGATTCTCCTACAACTCCACCTTAACTTTCACCTCCTTCTTGCATGGAGCACAACTATACAAGCCCACTCAAGTCTTTTCCAAGTATGTGTCTGGCCTGAGCATCACTCTGGATTCCCCAGGCAGTAGCCCTTCAAAGCTCTTATTCCCTGAAATGTCTTTATCCTCAGCCTCCTCCTTCAGAGGCTTTTCAGTCTGTCGGCTGCTGGTCCCATCTGCCCTCTCTTGGCCCAATGGCTACAGGTGGTATATGCCTTTAAACTTTTTCAGTAGATGACACCTGGAAAGGTACTTTAGCTTGAGGTGGGTGAAACAAAAGGCAAGCCTTTGTGCTGGTAGCTCAGGAAACTACCAGATGAGTCAAAATGCACAACCACTTTTTTTGGAGAAATAGTCTATATTGCCTCCCAGCGATCTCCCCATCACTAGTAAGCCAAACTAGGAATGGAGGCTGCCATTCTCATGGCTGCTGCTAAGCTGGGAAACAGGGCGTGGTAGGCAGGTAAGCAAAAGGCCACAACACTTTCTTTCCAAAATTTAACAGCTTCTTTCTTCATTAAGCAGTACCCTGGTTGCTATAACTTTTTTATTAGATTCCAGTGATCCAAAAAAAGTTGATTCCATCCATTTTGGGCAGCATAATGATTGCTTCAGTGAAAGAATTGATTCTTGAAGCTCCCTACGCTGTCATTTTTTCCACCATGTCTCCCATATACATTTGTAAGTAATTACCTTTAACTTATAATATTAAGCCCTTTATTTTCTTTCCTCACAACTTGTTCGTTCGGCTATTTCCTCTAAATGAGACATCCTTTCCTCTATTCTTTGTTTGTCTAACTTTTATTCAAACTTAGATGTATTCTCTAGAACCATTCTCTAAACTTCCAGACTGAGTTAAGTGTCCCTTGTTTATACTGCCACAGCACCTGTTCTTTAACAAATCACCACATTCCTGAAATTACCTGTTACTGTCTCTGTCTATCCCACCAAAGAGTAACTTGACAGCAGTCACATCTGTAATCCATTGCCTTCAGGAACAGTCTAATTACAAGCAATGACTCTCAGCCAGAGGTGTATAATCTCCTTAGCGCTTTAGATCATACGCTCCTCTTTTCTACTCCTAAAGCCTAGCATAATGCCTAATATTCAGTAGCTACACAGTGAATATAATTATTACATGGACTTATACAGTTTAGGCAATACATAGAGAAACAAAGAAGCATATCAAGAAATAAATATCACAATCTTCTTTTTCACTTCAGCAACTTACGTTCTGGTTGTTTTTCATTGGGTGTTATGGATCGCACAAAATCTTGTGGTGTCATAAACACTTCAGATTCACCATGCTCACTGATTACTTTCAAGGTGGCAAAATATCGGAAGATTTTGTCTGGTGTGGAATATGCACGAATCCTATTCTCATATTCCATCACCTAAAATTGGAAATTCAGAGAAGGTTACTGTATTAAGCATCTCATTTTCATGTATATTCTCTTATTTGGGGGGCAATTTTATATCATTTTTTTCTCTAACTGGATTTTTATATTAGAAATTACTTGAGTCTCAAAAACTTTGATATACGATTCATACTCCAGTTGAGGCAATGCTTGTATAAGTTTTCTTCAGAATTTTGAATATTTTCTAATTTCTTAAATCATTGAAAGCTAGCAAAATTGAAAAATGTCATAAAAGAATTCAAAAGGTCTCAGTAAAAGAGTATAATACCATATATATGAGAGGCTATCATTTTTTAAATACCTACCAAGTTTTTAAAAAGGGACTGATTTTACAGTTTTTACTTCCATGCAATTTCTTGAATTCAAAAACAAAACAGACGTGGGACTTCACAGGTCTGAATAGCTAACAGTCCTTCAAACAAAAAGTACATTACACAATAGCACAAAAAAATAAAATTACATATCATGGAAACTCAATTATTAAAAGGACTGAAGCAATAAGACTTTTACTTTTGATAAAAAAATTAGACTTCCAGGGACTTCCCTGGTGGCGCAATGGATAAGACTGCGATCCCAATGCAGGGGGCGCAGGTTCGATCCCTGGTCAGGGAACTAGATCCCACACGCATGCCGCAACTAAGAGTTCACGTGCCACAACTAAGGAGTCCGTGTGCCACAATTAAGGAGCGGGCAAGCTGCAACTAAGGAGCCCACCTGCTGCAACTAAGGAGCCCACCTGCTGCAACTAAGGAGCCAGTGAGCTGCAACTAAGGAGGTTGCCTGCCGCAACTAAGATGCAGGGCGACCAAATTAATTAATTAATTAATTTTAAAATGTAGACTTCCAGAGAACATTTAAATATAGCATATTTAGAAAAGAGTAGACTTGGGAAGAACACAAGCAAATATTTGAATAGGAACAAAATTATATATGGCATACATTTAATTAAAAGATTATAATGTTAATATAAAAGCCTGTTTCCTTATCCAGCACCCAAGCCCCCATTCTGTACACAAAACACACAAAATATTGTATCTTCTGCAAAATATTCTTCTACAGCCTACACAGTACTTTGGTGAAAAGATGTCTCTCATACCTGAATTTTATATGTTGAGTTAACCAACATTAAACAGTATCTTAAAAATAACTGGTTAGAAAATGGGTCAAGGCAATACGATCTAAAAATCCAGTGAAAAAATAAAATAAAATAAAATAAAAATCCAGTGAATTCAATGTCTATAAAGCAATTCACTATATTAAAAAAACATTATTAATGTTTTAATTTACCTTATTAATGCAGCTATTAGTGTAACTGTCATTTCTGACTAGATGGTCACTTTGAGGTCATTGATGGCAGCTACTTAAAATGGTCTCAATTCCACTACGAGATATGCTTTCAACCACTAAGAAAGGAATGCTAACTTGTAACTACATGACAGGAACCTTTCTAACGCTAATTTGCATTAAAGTCTGAATACTTATTTCAGAAAATTTTTCAATAGATTTGGCATGTGGCAAACACACTCAACAGTCCCATGGCACAGCAGTCACCAACCTTTTTGGCACTAGGGACCACTTTTGTGGAAGACACAAAAAGCTTGGGGGGGGATGGTTCAGGCGGTAATGAGAGCAATGCCGGGGGGATGGTTCAGGTGGTAATGCAAACAACAAGGAGTGGCAGATGAAGCTTCACTCACTCGCCTGCTGCTCACCTCCTGCTGTGAGGACCAGTTCCTAACAGGCCACGGACTAGTATCAGTCCGTGGCCCTTGGGTTGGGGATCCCTCCCTTAGCAGCCTTTCAACCCATTAGCAGCCTTAAGACTTAGCTATGAGTCTTAAATCAAAGGCATTTTATATTTAACTACAACTATCTGCTGGATCATACCAGCTATAGAACAAAAAATAATCAGTTTACAATATTTAGGGTATGGGCTACAGCTACTGCCAAAGATGGCTTTGTAAACTAAAAAGTCAATCATATATAAGATAAAGATAGAAAAATAACAACTTAAAAGTCAATGATTTACAGACTGAAAATCAGATCCTTGATTGTTACCAAAAATGCTGCTGGGGTTTCCCTGGTGGCACAGTGGTTGAGAATCTGCCTGCTAATGCAGGGGACACGGGTTTGAGCCCTGGTCTGGGAAGATCCCACATGCCGCGGAGCGACTAGGCCCGTGAGCCACAACTACTGAGCCTGCGTGTCTGGAGCTTGTGCTCTGCAACAAGAGAGGCCGCGATAGTGAGAGGCCCACGCACCGCGATGAAGAGTGGCCCCCTCTTGCCACAACTAGAGAAAGCCCTTGCACTGAAACGAAGACCCAACAGAGCAAAAATAAATAAATAAATTACTAAACTCCTAAAAACAAAATATATATATATATGCTGCTGAATATTATTAATTAGTTTTAGTTTGAAATAATAGGTTGAGGAGATAGACCTTCTCCATTCCAGCACTGGTAGAGTTTAGTATAGACATACTGTATAGTATATTTTTGCTTTTTTTCACTTAGCAATGTATCTTAAAGACCATATCACACAATTTGATATGGAGCTGCCTCCTTTTAAGTAGTCATGTTAAAGGAACACTAACAACTATTATATAAAGGGTTTAAAATATAGCATCCAAGATAACAAAGGCTTGGAAGCTAAGATATACAGAAAACTGTTGAAGAATTTTGGAACGTTTAGCCTGGTGAAAAGATTTACTAAGGAAATTATAATAGTTACATTTAATCATCTACTTAAAACATTCTTGAGTTTCATGATGTTAAGACAGCTGTCTTCACTAAAACAGCCAGACTTACTTGTATCAAAATTCAGCATTATATTTCCTATATGAAAGGCACAAAAGTAGCCAAATCGTAGCTGCAACCAACTACTCTGAGAAATGGCAGGGTGGATAGGCCAGGTGGCTGGCACTTCCCAGATCCATGCCTTCAGCCAGCCAGCCAAAACCCCCTCCCCACACCCCCACCCTGTGCCTAGTGACCCTACCCTAATGCCGCGCAACCCAGCTGGGCTCACACTATCTGCCCTGGGCATTTTACTGCATCCAAGACCCTTGCTCCTACCCACAGCTGTAGCTCCAGAGACAAGGGTCCTGATCTACCCCCACTCTGAGGCTGCTTGGATGGAGCCTCTCCCCACCCCCATTTTTCATCAGTTTCCCCTGATGGCTTGGGGGCTCATGTGAAGGGAAGTCAGCACTGAGATGCAGCCTCTGTTTCTGGAGCCTCTTGTAAAGCTCAGAAGATCCTGGAAAGGGCCCAGACCAACTTGGATAAAAGAACCCCCAATCCATCCCCAATATTTGTGCCTGGGAGAAATAGGTCCCTCTCAGCTCTACAGTTCACAGCCCTGACAACTACAACCCCTGGAAAAAAAGTAAAGAACCAACATCAAGATGAAAGCAGCCAACATGTGGCTTCCAAGGTCAATTCTACTCAGGGCCATTCCAGCCTGCAAGAAAGGGAGAAAGGGCATTGAAAAACCTTGTGGGAGATATTGTGTGCAAGGTCTAGAAGTGGCTAACATCACTTCTATTCAGTGGAAAACTAGCAAACTAGTAATATCCATTAAAAAAGGTAAAGTAAAAAGACAGGGCTCAGGATCACCTTTAGAAATCTGAAATGGCATGATGTTAACTGACCTAGGGTACACCATGAGCAAAATTTTGTAACCAAAACATGTTATGTTAGAAGAATGCAATGGAAAGAGCAAGGGTTTTAGAGTTACACAGACTTATATTTGATTCCTTCTATTATAATTAACCAGCTATATGACTTTAGACAAGTTACTCAGTTGCTTCAAGCATTAAGTACATATGTATGTATGCATACATGTATATGCATGTATATACACACATATACGCACAAACATACACACATTTACATGTGTGTATATGTATGTACATATACTATGCCTGGAAGACAGAAAATGCTCAATAAATGTTACTTTCCTTCTGTTTTTCATTTGTTCTGCTATGTGTGTAATAAGTAAACTTACTTGGGTTTTCTAGTCACCTAAGTTCCTAAGGATTTTGTTTGGTATATAGAGCATATTTTTTGTCTTTTATTATTTATGTTCACCTATCAATCAATTTAAAAGTATTTACAATTGTACTGAACCAAATAATTTGGCTTCTTAATATGAAGATACCGTTCCAAATCCAAAATAGCGACATCAGAAGCTCCTGAACTCCCCATCTCCCATAGATGCACCAAATGTACAGCTATACATGGAGTATTTCCCTCTGAAAGTAATCCAGAAACTAGCTGAACAATGCCTATACATTGGGTTAACGAGAAAGTACCGACATCAAAACTGGTAGGAAAGACTGAGACACACTCTTGCCATAAATCCTACCTCTAGCACAGTGCCATACAAATGGGAGAGAACTCTCAACCTCCAGCTTCTCCCTGAGCAGTAAAGGGTTTGGATGCCACATCTAGCACCCCAGCTTGTAAGACTCTCACTTGAAGGATGGGCTGCCAAAACAACTACTATGAAAGCCAATGGGACTTGTAACCATGAGACCCACAAGACTACAGAAAACAAAGAAACAATTTTTAACAGGCTCTGGAGAACTCAGAGTATCTGTTGCCCCAGGGATCAGTGCAGAGGAAGAAGGCAAAAAACACCTACCTCCCAGTCTTCCCTTGAAAAAGGTCTATTTGCATATATTAAAAGCTGCTGCCGGGAGGTCAGGCTTCTAATTTAGCACACATCTAAGGGCTGGCTGACATCCTCCATGGGGACTGGGGAAGAGAGTGGATGCCTCATCCAACTTCTCCATCTAGCCTACTCCAAATTGCTAGGATCTCCCTGGAAGGAGCTTATACACATGTCTGCACCTCAGCATTATTAGCTGTCATCTGAGGTATAAGTCCCTGAATCACCTGGCTCTGCAAGTCAACAGGGCTTGCATTCCTGAGTCCCACAGGACTGTAGCAAAAAAAGAAACAGATTTGT